GGGTTATTGAAATATAAAATTAATACTAGTACTGAATAATATGTTTTAAAATACTTTAGTCGTTAAGCCTATGACTTTTTTTTATTTTGTAGAATGTTTTTTAATGTTTCTAAAAAAAAGTATTTATGTTTTAACCATAATAAACAAATAAAACTTAAAATAGGAGATGAATTATTACATTGTCACACCTGTCCTCATTTTGGTCACTCCTGTCTCTTTACATTTTTTGCCAATAAAAAATTATTTTATAAAGTTGTAGTTATTTTAACTTCCAAAGCTCTATTTATCCCTAACTTAGCAATAAAAAACATGCTATGATCAAATTAAGTAGTAAACTGTTTCAGCAGAGAAGAATTAAATTAAAAATATATACCTATGTCTGCTTTGGCATTCGTCGTCTTACTTTTTCACAGTTTCTTGGTCATTGTTAGAATAAAGTATAAAACCGATTAAAAGACTTTGTCTTCTATCGAAATCGTTTTAGTTTAAGATGTAATGTTATTCAGATTATAAGTTATAGTGTAAAAAAGTCAAGGGGACAGAAAAGTGACTCTTATAATAATGAACTAAACATTTTGCCAGTCACTTGCCAATGAAAATTATTGCTCGTCTTGTATATGAACATTAATTTTACAAAAATTTAAATTGTAAAAAATCATTCTGAGGTACTTATTACCAACGTATTGCAAACAAAATAAAATCGCAAAATTTTCTTCATTTTTTAAAGAGAAATACCCAAACACTTTCATATGATGATAAACATTAGGTAAAAAAATATTAGAATACAATAATGTTTTTCTTTAGTTTATTTAAAAAAAAAAACAACAAATAATGAGATAACAATCGTGACCAAGAATTTTTTTATTATTGAAGATAATCTATCTACCCCCAATTTTTTTCTGAACAGTAATCAAAATTGTACAAAGTAAATAAAGAAAATATTAACTGTAGGGGTTAAATTGTGATAAATAAAATATATTTAAAATAAATAAAATATATTTATAATAAATAAACAACAATAGGCGTATTTTTTAAATTTTCATATTGTTCAAAAATAAAACAAAGATTGATTCTGTCGGTAATTAAAATCGCGTCGCGACATGGTCGTAACATACAGAGTTAAAAAAGTTAAACGCTTTATGAACTGAGCTATCAGGGTTATTTCACTTGAATTATCTAATCAAATATGTAAATAAACCAAGAAAAAACATAAAAATAATGTAGTTACTTTAAAATTATTGTAATATTTTGTTAAAAATCAAAATAGAAATTATGCGTCGTCAGACATATTTGACAGCTTATGTGGAAAGTAGATTCATGGTCACAAAAGGGTGGAAAGTTGATTCTTATTCACATATATATGATACAGGGCACTTCTCTTAAGATTAAATAGTGCAATACGTGTCACTTTCCTAAGTGGTCGAATAAAATATGTGTTGAAAATTCTCATCTTTATTTCATATTATAAATACTATTCCATAATATATTTGATAACTTTACAGGAAAGTTATTTGCACATAATTTTACCAATCATTTAATTTATTTACTATAGTTTATAACCCACGACGCTTATAATAATAATAATTTGATGGATCGTATGATCTTTCATACTGTTATATCATGTAATGTTGTTACTTCCGTTAATCATCTTCCGGCAAGGGCGTAGATAAGGGGAGGTAATGGGGGTAATTACCCCCCTCAAGCCATAGTCAACAACAATATTTTTTTAAACGTTATATTAAACAAAAATAGAGAGATAAAATAAATACGATAAAACAAAGAGTTTCTCAAACATTGTCATCTAAAATAATAATATTCCTACATATTGAAAATTAAAATTTATATACAGGGTCCCATTAGTTCGTAACTGTTCAATATTTTAATTTGTGTTTAAATAAAAGTTATATTGAATTGAAAAATACATATTTTAAAAATATTTTTGGATATATAGGGTGTTGCGTTTTTGCCTGACAAATAAAAATGTATGTTTTTTAAATAAAACACCCTATATTTTATTTTTAGAATGGTTTGGGAATACTGTATTTAATCCTAGAATGTTTTTAAAAAATATTACAGTGTTTCCAAACAATTTTTTTTTAATTAGAGCATGATGCAGACCCCTAATTAAATTATCAAAATTTAGGTATATTTACATTAATTTCAAATTTGTGAAATATACAGACTTACAAAATACTAAGCTAACGAATAGAGGTGATACAACTGGTTTGTTCTATACAGGGTGTTTTGAAACATGTCTTATATATGGCTAATTTTAAGTTCAATTTACTCAATTTTTTCAAACGCAACACACTGTATATTATATCTTGGCATAAAATTCCCTATAAAATTGCCCATGTAACAATACCAATGTGTTAGTTAAAAACACATATACATGGTGTCCCATCAGTGCATAATTGATCGATAGCTGTTTTATTATTAGAAATACGAAGAAATGTTTAATAGAAAAGTTGCATGACCATATTTAACAGATGTTCTTAAATATACAGAGTGGTCCATAAACGAGGTGCTGATCAAATCTATACTTTTTTAAAGCAGAACACCCTGCAGGTAGTAATACATATTTGATTGTTTTTACATCGTCCAACAATTTTAATTGACTTCATTCATTTGCTATGTTGTATATAGGATGTGTCAAAACGTGAGGTTATGATTTTCTCAATTTTTTAAATGGAATACCCTGTATTAATTAATTGGTGATATTCCATTTAAAAAAATAAGAAAATCGTTACCCCTCATTTTGCAATACCCTATATACAATATAGCAAATAAATAAAGTATATTAAAGTTGTTTGACGATGTGAAAACAAATATAAAAATGTATAAGTTTGGTCAGTCCCTCGTTTATGGACCACCCTGTATATTTAAGAATGTTTATTAAACGTGGTGATACAACTTTTATATTAATTTGTTTTTCTATTTCCAATAATAAAACAGCTATCGATCAATTACGCACTATTGGGACATGTTGGTATCGTTGGATAGGTAAATTTATAAAGAATTTTATGAGAAAATAATATACAGTGTGTTGCATTTGTCAAAATTGAGTAAATTGAACCTAAAATTAGCCATATTTAAGACCTGTTTCAAAATACTCTGTATAAAATAAATCAGTTCGATCATCTCGAAAATGGAATAGTCTACAAAGATCAACCAGAAGTCCCTTTTTGTGACAAATGGCGTGAGAAATATTTATTAATCTTAAGTTTTATGAAATGTAGGGTGTTCAAAACATTTTGAATAAAATTGTTTCTTTAGCCCTTCACTCTACGCCAATGGGTTATGGTAATTTAGCGAAATAGTGTGTTAACTAATAATAACGATTACCTATCATTTACATATTTTCAAGTTAAAGTCTTTACTGTAAGGAAAGATATTTAGAAAATATGTATTTATGAAATTCACTTTATCACCCTGTAGAATGAAGACTGAGACGTATATAGGAAAAATCTATTTAGATTTTCTTTATAATTGATTAAGATCTACAAATCCCCAAAATTACGGTATTTTATTCTGAAACACCCTGTATAAATATATAAAAAATTAAAAACTTCATTATAAAACTCTTTTTTCTGGAAATACACATATGAACTCTAGACGTTGCATTGGTACCATACACGCTGCGCATTCACCAATAAAGTGAAAAGTGTTACCCCCCCAAGAAAACAACCTTGTCTTCCGCTTGTCTTCCGGGCCCGATGATGGCTTTTATGCCGAAAACGGTTGTCTACATTTTTCAATAAAACATTATTGTGTGGTACTGCTTTTGTTTTTTCTTTCTCATACGAAGATTACCATCTTTTAGGAGCAGAATAACCTTCTTCAACTAAACAGAGATGACTTGATTTTGCCACTTTATATAAATATTTGTCTTCTAAGTAGCAAAAATTGTAATTAATTTAAGTAAATGATCCAAAAACTATTTGTCCAAAAATAGTTTGTCAGAAATTATTTTTCTAAAAATATTTTATTCAAAATAAAATTTGCAAAAATAATTAATTGTCCAAAAATAATTTGTCCAAAAATAATTTGCCCAAAAATAATTTTTCCAAAAATAATTTGTCCAAAAATAATTTTTCCAAAAATAATTTGTCCAAAAATAATTTTCCAAAAATAATTTGTCCAAATATAATTTCAAAAAACAATTTGTAAAAAGAATTGGTAATAATAATTTGAAAAACCATTTATCTAAACAATTTGTAAAAACAATTTGTCGAACAATAATTTGTCAAAAAATAATTTGTCAAAAAATAATTTGTCCAAATATAATTTCAAAAAACAATTTATGAAAGGAATTTGTTAAAAGAATTTTTTAAAAGAATTTGTCGAAAGAATTTGTAAAAAGAATTTGTAAAAAGAATTTGTAAAAAGAATTTGTAAAAACAATTTGAAAAACAATTTATAAAAACAATTAGTAAAAACAATTTGTTCAAAAATAATGTGTCCAAAAATAATTTGTCCAAATATAATTTCAAAAAAGAATTTGTAAAAAGAATTTGTTAAAAGAAATTTTTAAAAGAATTTGAAAAACAATTTATATATACAATTTGTAAAAACAATTTGTCAAACAATAATTTGTACTGGATAAATATAACAAGCAAAATCCGGTAAATTATGTATATATTTAATTATTTATCTCGCCAACAAATCTTTGCATAACCTGCTTTATCAAAAAACATCCGCCTACTTAAGGTTTTTACCATTGCAAACGTCAATCTTTGAAAAAAGAAATGCAATTCCAATAAATATATACCCAGGAAGAACAAATTACTTTAAATTAAAAAATTATTACTAGTTTACGTTACAAATTTGGAAATACCGGTATTTATTTAAATATAATTAACAATACTATTAATAAATAATCGATTAGTTAGTGTGGTTTCAACATTAAGTAGTACATTCTGTCAATATTAATGTAAGATTGGTTGCCAGCATTTCGGTAATGAGTACCCAGTTATCTTCACTTTCTAAATTTTTCGATGTATGTATCACGCCTCCTAGCGTTTGTTATACCAGTACCATAGAATAGCTCGCGCGAAATATATTATAAAAATTATGTTAATATTAAGTTAATATTTTTTTGGAAACTATGTGCAATAATGGCTTATAAAGTTCTTTTGTTGTTGGTTTTGTGTAAATGGATTAATTTTTCTCTAGGTAAGTCAAAGATTAAATAATTATATTCTTTAGTTTTCAAAATTAAAAGTTTAAGTTAGGTACTTAGGTACTGTATCTTTACCCTGAATATTAATAAAAATAAATTGTATTTTATTTTGCAATGTTACAATTAAATAAGTTATATTAGTACAATTTAACATTATTGTAAATCAATCTTTTGGGTTTTAATCTCAAGGATAACTTCTCGTTAATTTTATAAACAGCCTTAAGCATTTGGTGACTAAAGAAGAATACAAATGCGTCATTAATTTATTCTTTGGCGTAAATAAGGTTATGAAAATAAAATGAATCCTATTTATGTTTAATCAACGCGCAATGGCAAATAATAATATTAACATCCCTCATCCCTACCTCCATACACACCTCTGCTTTTTGAGCTTCACTCACAAGTAATGAATGGAAAAATTATTATCTTCTTTTTCAAAAGACGTAGGACGTTATTACTGTATGAGTAACCTATTTTTGTATTAGAATTATATATAGAAAAGTGTATAAAAATAAGTAAATAAAAAAAAATAAATAAATAATACTTAATTTCATCAAAACAAGCATTAGTCATTAAATTTTGATATTTTTTATTAATCATATTTTTTAGCCAGTTAAAAATCTATAGCATAGTCTGATATTTCATATGAAACGTAATCTACGTCGGTGGGTATTTTTATCTTACTTAAAACCGATTAAAACTTACATCAACAAAGTTAAAATCAAATAACAGGTATTAGATTATTATTATTATTATGTAGGACTTAATATACACATCAGTATGAGGGGTAAATAAATCAGATAAATTGTGTAGGTATACAGGAATTACAGTAATTACAGTAATTACAGTAATTTCAGTAATTCCAGAACTTTTAAATAAGGTAGTCCATGGAAAACTTTTACCAAGTAACTTTAGCAAAATTTTGCCGTTCATGTATCACTGGAAACCGAAGAAATAATTACACATTAAAGTTTAAAATTGTATGCCTCGTAACGTGGACCAAGAAATCCAGATTATTTGAATTGTGTTGCCAAACGTCTACAGCGAAATAAAAATGGTAGCGTCTAATAAAATTTACTCATATCATTTAATTTTTTTTTTGTTGTCGATATGTATTTTAAACTAATAATTAGCTACCAATATTATTTTTTTATTGAATAGGTGGTTATTTATACAAATTAAAACGCAAATAAAAAAATATAGGTATGTGAATGAGGATATAATAATATAAGAACTTGTATCTTTCGTTTGTCCGAAAGTAAAATTCGGAAAGCAATTTGCAAAATGAATATAAAAAAATTATAACCAGCAAAAATAACTATATAATTTTACCTTTTAATTTATAAAAACTAATTGCATATCCAAGTAAAAACAATAATGAATTGGAATGTTTGTTACAGGTAGCTTATTATTTATTTAAAATGCATATCGAAAACTACAAAAATTTAAAAATATATTATCGGTATAATATTTTAATCGACGATACCCTTTTTATTTAGTTGTTACACCACTGCATGTATTGTCTAGAATTAATTTTTAAAATAAAGAACTGACACTTAATTATTTGGCAACAAAATTTAAATGGGTGTTCACTTTTCTCAATAATTTTGTCATTTGTAAGTTCGGTTCAAAACTTTGTACAAGTGTAGTTATTATTATCGATATCATTGTTTTCAAGCACTACCACTATTAATAAATAAAAAATGAATATTTTAGTTATCGTAACATTTGTTTTGTTTTTAATACGTTGAAAACCATCTATAAACATTTTCTTCTTATCTTAAGATTATTTTTAAATATATATCATGTAGAAAGCTTGACATTGTGTAAAAAATATTATTATATGAAACTTTACCTACCATTTTTCAGTTTTTACTGTAAATTCAATCATTTTCACAATTTATCACACATGTGAAATAAAATAATATATTTTTTAAATACCTTTTATTGGAAAAAAGATAAGTGAACTAAAATGTGTATTTTATAAGATCAGTCCCATCACAATACTTATTATTATACAGATACAAACTAGAATGAAGATATATAATGCGTATCATTTTAAATTAAAATTTTCACAGTTTAACAGAGTCCCTTAATCCCCATTTTCAATCAGATTTTTTTCAGAATCAATAGGCTTCATCCCCTTGTAGAGCTTGATTTTTTCCAAAATTTTCGGATATTATTATTCGTTTTTGAGTTAGATTTATTTTAAATAGTTCAACCCTCCCCTTTTTCATTCAATTTTTTTTTAACAATTAATGGCTCTCATCTACTTATAGAGTCTGATTTCTACTAAAAATTTCATGTTGAAATCGCTTTCCATTTTTGATTTATGACTTTTTTAAATCCCCTATTTTTATTCAGATTTTTTTTCCAAATCAAAGGGCTTCTTCTCCTTATAGAGCTTGTTTTTTAGTTAGGATTTTTTTTTAAATATTTTAACCCCCCTTATCTCTCTATTTTGAATCAGATTTTTCAAAATCAATAGGCTATAGAGCTTGTTTTTTGCTTAAAAATTTTAAGTTGATATCATTTTTCGTTTTTGACTTATCGTGTAGACAAAAAACATGACATCGGACAATGTAAACATATAATGCTCTTCACAGACTACTGTGTGAAGAATAGAATAGTATAATTAAGGCTAAAACAATAACATATTAGCCTTAAAAATATGTACACTAAAAGAATGATAAAATCAAAGTTTTGAAAATTATTTAATAGGTATCAGTATCTCGAGGATTAACTGCATTATGTCATTCTAGTCAACTTTTTAGTAGAGCAGACTGAATGTTGGTTGGACACTTTTCGTATTCCATATTTACATATAATAATTATATTTCGACAAGAAGTGCAGTTTAGCCCCCATTATTGTCACAATACGTATTGTTTACTAATAATCTAATAAAAAAAAATTTTAATATACATGAATTGTTGGTTTTTTGTAACATATTTCTATGTTCTGATAACAAATATTCTATGACATAGTGTCATATACCTCCAACATGCCTCTATAAATAGAATGACTAACGTGAGAGTAAAAAAGTGTTGTTTTACGTTTAACTTGTAAGTTTATTGAACTATTATTGTGACATCACTATACATGGTATAGAATACCCCTGAAAAGGTCTCGATGAGTTTACCTCCCAGGTAGATCTCGGTAAATATTTAATTTAGTCTTCATGATATAGGTACATACCTAACATAGACACAACTATTAAGTTTCTCAAATTAATTTAGGCCAGTGCAATATTTATATTTTATATCGTCTTTAAAAAAAACTGCAATGCAAGTATATAAAATCTTTAGCGCTACATCAGTCTGACACTGTTTATCAGTACCTCTAGCATTTATAGATAGGGGATTTTTCTATAACTTCAAATTCATTAGGGACAACCTACAAAATAAAACAATTATTCATACAAAATTTGTACTAGGGTTAAGAAATTACCCTTGTTTAAGGGTCGATCTTTTCACCTCTGAATAAAGTTACATGTAGGTATACTTGGCCGATTATCAAACAATAGCCCTATAGTTTGATCAGCATGTTGTTACTTTCAATTTTACTCAGAGGTGAAAAGACTGGCGCTTAATAAAATATATAATAAAATTGTCATACTTTTTTAAAACTTTGTCTTTTGTAAGAAACAAAAAAAAATTGCTCAATGCATAGTTGGGTATAAAACACATGACTATTCTGTTAACCCTGGAACAAAAACAAAATATAATTTACAGCCGTAATTTGGAAATAAACAAACATAACCTCAAAAATAATAGTAATTTTTTCCTGTGACGTTTTTCGGTAACAATCGTTGAATTGACACACATACTTCCGATTTATTAAAGTCGCAGTTTTATATAAACTTAATTTTTAATAAATACAATACACAATTGAAATTGTCTTATATTGATTTTTAGAATTTGACAGAAAGTTTTTATATCATTGAAATCACGCTATTTTAAAAAAATGGCATTTATTTTCACCAAAACTGACTAGCTTGAGTTTGACAAATGTCGTAAAAGGGTAATGCAAGAGTGCAGTACCGTCACTGCATCTTATTCTATATCTATGATTTGAAAGATTCGTATGGACCGCCCTACTTTCTGACGTCACTGTGTGCGTTGCGCAACATAGGGCGATTTTAATGATTTTAAGCAGGTCATTGTTCGTTTCATGGATCTGTTAACTTTTAGTAACCTTTCTTTTTAGCTAGAGGCTTTCGCGAAAGCATCTTGCTTCCTCGGGCTCACTCAAAAAAAGTGACGCGATTAGCCAGAGCGCATTGGAGTACAAAAAAATAAAGATTAACAAATATGAAAACAATAAAATTATTAAAATTGAATTTATATTTTTATGTTATGTATTTTAAAATAATGTATGAAATGTAACTGGGTGTTCACTGCACAAATAAAACAATGAAGAAACCGCCTCTGTTCACTGAATTTATTGGTATACACGTCACACGGGACATAAGAGACATCAAATTTTCCAAATTTAATATTTATTTATTCGGTAAAATTTTGCTTAAATACTTTGTAAATGTTAAAGTTTAAAATGGACTAATAAAAAAATTGACCGTTTTAATAGTCCATTGATAAAATTAGTTCTAAACCAACATAGGTTTTCTAAGAAAAAACTTGTTGATTTATATTTTTGAAATATGCGTAAGATTAAATAATATGGGTATCCAAATATTTATGTTAATATTAAATTTACTAGAAATACCATAACATTATTCTTCAAGTAATAATTTTACTGATAATGGTTGAATATCTACCAAAGGTTTCCAGGATGTAGCAAGATAAAAGCTGACTGTAAGCGAAGTTTTGCGGAATATGTTTTCAAGATAATTTTGTAGAGTAATGTATATCACTCATATCGAAATGCGTATATTTTGCATAAACTTTGAACCACTTCCATTAAAATCCCAATTCACATTCACAATTTCAACAATAACAAAATTATTGAAATTTACACATCAAAATAATGGTGTTT